TTGGGGCCCTGATTCACACCTTTTGCTCACAGGGGGCGGAGTCATACTTGCAATAACAGCRTTGTAGGAGGAGGACAACTGGACACGAAGGCCTCCACCTCTATTTAATGGTGGACAGTTTTTCTTCACAAAGATGGCTTCCTTTACTCCTCTCTCAAACCAACATTCCTCTCTATCAAGGATGAAAACCTCTTTTGCATGTGACTGAATAGAGTTAATCAAGCCTATTGTTAGGCGATGGCCCTCTTTTGCATGTGACTAACCTTTTTGTCCACCATGTGGAGGCAGTGCTTATAAGGCTGAGTTCACCTGAAACTCATCAGACTGAAGAAGTCTCTTGGAGGAGAGACAAAACGCTTCACTAAAGAAGAACCCATCCAGAGGACCTATTTATTTTTTTCTTTTTGATTTTTTTTCTACCTGACTTACTGAGATGCATCAGGACCATTGATATTGTACCTCCTACCACTGTGATACATTAAAACTGGCACATATTCAAACTAGCATTATTAGTCATAACAGTGGTTTTTAGAAGTTAGGTAAACATGCCTTCAGAAACTGATATTTTTATAGATTAAGTTATATATTTGTTGAATTCCTCATTATGTAAGGAACAGTTTTTTTATTTGTATTACTTCATTACCAGCACAAGCACCGTGAGGCATCAAGACATCACAGTCATCTTTTGGATGTTGTCATTTTTAAATATTTTACTGAGTGAAACAGAAGAGGATAAAATCTTTATCATTTTTTTCCTCCGCAATCTTCAGATGGTTCTTCTCTTCTTAAGTTTTTATTCTTTTGAAAGAAAGAGGCCAGAACTTCTACAACTGGGCCCTTTGTGAGCTAAAAACTGAATGAATAACAAAATAAAAGTGACTCAAAGATTAGAAGCAGGGGAGGGTGTGAAAGAGTCAGGATGAGTTTTGGCATTAAACACTGACTCTAATTAGCACAGATTCTGACTATTTCTACTCTCATTTTTATTTAAGTTTGCTGTATTTTTGAGTCCAGATTTGATTAGATTTTTTTTCTTTATGCTACGGTTTCTCCTCTTGCTCCCATGGTTTGATTCCAGTGTCCATTGTCTGAATTTGTTCCCAGTGAGGCCACTCCTGGCTAATAAAGTATAAAAAATGATATAGTTTTATTCTTTAGTGTATTTTGAAGGTTAGCAGACCCTGCAGTTACCTTTGCTCTGACGGGAAGCATTCTTGTATGAAGCACACGGCAAGCCTTCATGACGAGGCCACATCAGAGCGTTTCCTTTTGCCTCAGTGTAGTTCTGATAATTCAGATTGGCTTTTGTTGTGCTCAGAACACATGAAAAACAGATTTTGTTCGATTTTATTTCAGTTGATTTTACTTCATTGGTTGAAAGTTGACTGGAAAAGACAACAATAACATAACTAATCCTGCCCCGCTGACAAAGTGCATTGATTTCTGACGTGATTTGATGGTGTGAGTGGTTTTCTGCACGGAGCRTTGCCTCTTCATCCTGAGAATCCGTGGCGCTGGCTTTACAATCCACTGAGAACTAATATGATTTGATAAGACATTATTTCCACTGGACAAGCATTCTTTCTTTTAGTCATTCATAGCTTTTGTGTGTGTGTGCGTTCTCATTTAATCTCCCGCCAYGTCAGCTAAGCCCTCCTGACTCGTCTTTGTGTTCTGTGAACATGGCCCCGTTTTCTATCGTTTCCTAATTTTATTATTTATTTTTTTGTTTTCGCAGAGAAAAGGCGCCTGTCTTGCATTTGTTCGGCTGTGTTATGAACAAATGCCTGCTGTCAATTCTTCCCTTGCCCCTGTGTCTGTGGGGTTTCTGCCAAACGCAGAGCAAGTGGGGGGGGGCACTGCATCTCATTATTTTACAGCTGACAAATAGCAATGTGTTCCATGGAGATTAAAAAAATGAAATACAGACTCATCGTTCTTTTTTTTCCCCATCTCCCTCGATCTTTGTGTACCTCTTCCCRTCTCATTTGTCACCATGTATGCCTCTGTTTTTACTGTCTTCGTTCTTTTTTTTTTTTGTTGTTGTTGTTGTTTTTTGTGTGTGTTTCTGATTTAATGCGGCTCTAACTCACTCCTTGCCCCACAAATCACACAGACACCCTCTGAGACAGACGTGCTCCCACACAAACACACGTAGCTGTCACCCTCAGCTGTCTGCATCAGCAAAGCAAAAGCACAAGGTGAAAATGGACAAGTCCACAAACAAGTCAATCTTGTAGGCTTGTTGTTATCTGTGTTGTTGCTCTTGTTTTGTTTTTGTCATTGCTCATCATCATCATCATCATCATCGTCATCATCGTTATCTTTACCCATCTTCTCCTCAGGTTTTTCTTCTCATTTCCCTCATGTCTCTTTTCCATCTGCACTCTGGTATTTGTGTGCTTATTCTTAATTCCTATTGAGGAAATCTTCTGTCTGTCTTGCTTTTACTCTTTGTATCCTCAGAGATTTTAATCTTCATCTTTGTCCTTTTCCTTCCTACTTTATAGTTTACTCACATAATTCTTTTTTCTGACCTCCTCTTCCATGCTTTATTTTTTTAACTTTATCTCTTACGCTGTCTGTCTTATCGGACCTTATTATTTATCTTTTCCTTTCTTCTCTCCAGGCTCTCGTGGTTCCTACAGCAGTCAGCACAGTCAAGAGGCCCTTCGACCCTTGGGGTCCCCAGAGCACAATATAGATCCTATCTATGAAGAACGTGTCTACCACAACAAGGGTCCCATGAGGAGCCTTAGTCAGAGCCAGGGACCAGAAACCGGTCCCTACCGCAACAACACAGGTAAAACACTTACTGTTTCTGAAAAAGTCAACTCTGGCTTAAGTGTTTCTTTTAGGTGTTATTACTATTATGTTCTAAAGGCACTACAGTATGAAAGTGTGTGAATATTTTTAAATACATGAAATGTGTATTACAGGTTCAAAATGAGACATATGGCTGTGTTAACCACATGTAATTATTTTTTTTATTTTTAACTGATACTCCTACTTTGTTGTCTGTGCTATGTCTCTACATTTATACAAGTGAATGCACTGAAAAATAAGCCCTATAAGGCAGGGCTATTCAACTAAACTGCTCCAGGGGCCACAGTTACTGCAGGCCAGCAGCTCAGGAGCAGAACATCCAGCAATTGGTCATTGTGTAAATAAACCAAGTATTACAAAGATCTGTTACCTTTGAAATAGTTTATTTTGCTGCCTTTAATCATGAATACAACACACAGAATCCTATAATAAAAGTAATGATAATAAAACAACAACAAAAGCAACAATAACACATTATGCCTCCTATTTAACACAAATATTATTTTGACATCTCTGACT